ATTCAATTATTATTATTATTTTCACCAAAGAAATATAGCAGAATACATTTTGACATAAATGTCTGAAGAAATGTTATTTATTTGCAAAATTTTATAACAGAAACAAAGAAAAGTGCGTTTTTTTCAAAAGTTTCAGGTGTTTTTTGTTCATTTAGCAAAAAATAAAAAACTCAGCGGTGATTAAATACCCACAAAAGAAAGCTCTATTTGTGTGAAAAAAATTATAAAAATGTCATATGGGTACAGTGTTGCATGACCACGCAATTGTCATTCAAAGTACGACAGCACTGAAAGCTGAAAATTGTCCTGGGCAGGAAGGGGGTATAAGTGCCCGATATTGAAGTGGTTGATACTGTTGCATTTAGAACATACAATAAATGATATAACATTTAACTATTGAGTATAAAATTTCAAAATTTGTAAAAAAAAAATAGTTATACTTTAAATTTGAACATGTGCAAGTATTTCAGAGGTTTTCGCTATGTAGGTCTGTAAGAATATATGTGAGCACAATAAGCTGAATATGAGGTTAGGAGCCGTTAGGTTTTCACTGAGTGAAGAAAATAAACCAGATCAATGATGTGTTTACGGTGAGCCGTTCCACTCTCTTGGGTTTCATGTGCATAAGCCAAGAGGTTTTCTTATCAAGGAATCTATAGGCCACCCTGCACTTAACAGTATGAAAAACTCAGCATGTTGCTAAATTTGTCATTACATTCCCTGGGACACCTGATATATCACAGTACACACTAGCTCGATTGAAAGCCAACCTCTGAAAGTTAATATATATCTTATAATGTAAAATCTGTTTATACCTTTACTTTCCCTGCATTAATAGTCCTTTCCAGGTCAGGAAATAGTTTACTCAAATACACAAAAAGTGTGCTTTTCCTGAGCGGAAATTGGTTCTACTATGGCAAGTTACAGGCTTGTTGTCTTATCTCATTGCTCTTAGTTTATTTATCTTATATACCGAGTATAGTGTCGGTGGATCTGGAACCAATCACCCAATCCAAGTTGATGACATTAGAGAGAGGCTTCTGTGCTACAAGCTCAAGACTAATGGTGGATTCGTGCCAGTTTGCTGAATGCATCATTGTCATTGAAAATAGTGCTTGCCCAATCATCCTAAGGAAATGTATACTTTGTCAGAGTACTTAATAAACTGAAATGTTCTGGACAAATTAGGTATCTCAACTTAAAGCCAAACTCCAGCTTAAACTTTACTTTTCTAGTATTTTAGAAGAAAACAAAGATAACCTCTGTTTATTGTTGCTTGTATCCTTGTTTCAGAGATTTCTCCTCACTTGTTAAACATTTGACAAAACAGTAAGTAGGTAAATCTCCCGAGTGAGGACACCGATAGAAATAAACTCAGTTTGAGCAGAGTGTAGAAGGAATAAAACCTCAGTTGAGTTCCACTGTGTTCTCTAACAGGAGTATTATATCTTACTTTCTGCCTGGATGTCATACAGAAGTTGGAGTGGAAAGAAATCCTCTCAAAGCGGGGCAAACGTTATAACCTTGCAAAGTATTCTGATCTTGCCCCATGCTATCCTTAGAAAAAAAAGTTTTAGTAAAGCTAGGACAGGGATAGGCAACCTGGCAACCTCTTCAGCTCATTTTGCAGAAAAATGTTTGCAAAGAACTGAGAGCAACAGACAGGGCCACCATTACAAATCATAGGACCCTGTACAGGCTATTGGACAGCCCTCCCCTCCTTAACCCTCTGAATATTTGACATGGATTAATAGAGTTTGAGCCTACTTGTGTATACACCACATGTTTATGCAATGTAAAGGATAATTTTTTTAAAACTGAAACTCTTTCATTACTCACCCTAGTGGACCCTTGGATGGCCTTGGTACTCTAAGTACTGTCAGTGATGCTGTTTGCACACAGAGAATACTTTGAGCCCTGCCAGAGCCCCTTCCCCAGTACCGTAAGGCTTTGCGCGCGCACTCAGTTTAAAAAAACGCCATTTTCCTTTGGCAGTAAAAAATGCTCATATAGAGTGTTTTTGTACACATGCTTAGGTGCATTTAGGAGTGTTTAGAGTTTTTGTACCAGAACACTCCAATCAAAAAATTAAACCAGAAGAGGTTTTTTTCTGCTGCTAAACACTCAACCTAAAGTATGCCTCTGAACGTCCTAATGTGCATGGGATAACATTAGGCTGCTTCTACAGGCAAAGCTCAAAACTTCTGTAGAAGCAGCAATTTGGACCCTAAATCTTGACTGGTGGTCTGAGTGACCTTTTTTGTATGTTAAAAAAATCTGAAGAATATATTTAAAAAATATATTCTTCAGATTTTTTTTAACATATAAAAAAGTCATTTTAACATATATTTTTACATATATTTGTAAATGCATTCCAAAACTGTAGATTTCTATTTTTAAAGACATACAGTATAGTTGAAATGTATTTTTAAAAATATTTTTCATATATTTTTAAAATATATTTCAAATATATTTTTCATCCATGTGGGAAATGCTGTTGCCAAGCACTTACACCTTACCACTCAGTGTCTGCTACTCCTCTCTGCCAATCCCTCCATTGGCTTCTGCTCACGCAACAAATTAAATTCAAAATACTGACAACAACTTACAAAGCCATCCACAACTCAGCCCCCAGCTACATCACTAACCTAGTCTCTAAATACCTCCCGCTCCCTAGCTCCCTTGTCACCTTCTGCCATGCTTGTCTCCAGGACTTTTCCCGAGCCTCTCCTATCCTATGGAACTCCTTACTCCAATCTGTCCGACCATCTCCTACTCTGTTTGCTTTTTAGACAATCCCTTAAAACCCTCCTCTTCAGAGAAGCTATTTCACCCCCACCTAACAACTGAAGTTTTATTTTCTCCATCAGCTCATCCTCAACAGCTATATCCTAGATTGTAAACTCTAATGAGCAGAACCCTCTGATTCCTTCTATATTGAATTGTATTGTAACAGTACTGTCTGCCCTCATGTTGTAAAGTGCTGCGCAAACCGATGCCACTATATAAATCCTGTATAATAATAACAATAATAATACTAATAATAATAATAATCTCATTGGGCTGTGCTCCTCACGTAGAAGTATTAAGGATATCTGAGGAAAGGCAGCAGCTATGGACAGATGGCGCCATGGAAATGCATTGTAGAGGGGGAGGAAGAGTGTGAAAAGCCAGCAGCAGTGTGTCAAGGAGACAGGATGAGAGGAAGGCAGGTGTGTGCATGGGAGCTGGAAGAGACTGTTGACCTCAGGGTGCAGAGCTGGCAGCAGTGTACTATGGAGGGAAGGAAAAGGTTGGGTGTGTGTCAAGGGGCAAGAAAGGAATACAGGTGGATGGGCCAGGTGCATTGAGTGCCATCTCTTGTACACATATTAGAGATTGCCAACCCCTGAGTTAGGATTCCATTAAAACAAAAAAAATCCTGACTATAATATACAGTACTTGTTCAAACATAACAGCTCTCATGCTTTTGATTCTTGGTTGATGACATATTAGGAAAAAAATGATTTAGATTTAGCATTAATGAAAAGTACACAAAATAAATGAAGCAGAACTCCAATTTACATTTTTTGTTTTACTTTTCTGGGCAAGTAGATGTTGAAGGCACTTCCAGCCTTCATTTTCTCTTCCCTTCAGCCTTACTTTGCTCATTCACTAATGATAAAAAATACAATCCATCTTGACACCGCCAATGAAAATGACTGAGGATCAATACCCAGAAGTCACCAGGTTGAAGATGTAAATGGCTGGCAGGGAGCTCCAAGGGATCACAGATCAGGTGAGTATAGTTCCCCTTTAAATAAAAATTGCTTTTTTTCCTTCATTTGTCATTTTGACAAGTTATTTCTCACCCACAGCATAGGCATACTTACAATTACACCCCAAAACACATTCTGCTACAACCTAGATGCAGAGAATGGCCCAAAATCCAAGGTGCACCTTTGAGCATCAATGAAGGATAAATTCCTGGCTACCTATCACATTTTTGGAGGCCCTGGAGCACCAGGATAGCAAAAACACCAACAAAATTAGCACATTTTGGAAAACAAACACTCCAATGTATTTTCTAAGAGGCAAGATGAACCTTTTGAAGACTTAATTTTTTGACACAAGTTTATGGAAAATGCAGGAAAGAAAATGCAAATGTATTTTTTCACAAACTTGTCAATTAATACAATAATACAGCATAAGATTACTTAGAATTACTCCCCAAAACACATCCTGCTACTCCTACCAGGTAAAGAGATGCAGCATGGGCTTATAAGAGAGAACTGATATTGGGTAGGACCAGGGACTGTAGAAAATATTTTTGTCATTGTTCTGTTTTTACATGGTCTATGGTTATATTTACAGCCTGCAACTGGCTACTAATGAAGGGGGATTATTGTGGCAATTTACATTACATCAGAGCTGGGAGTTGATATTACTACCATTGACCACCAATGAAGTGGGATTATTGTGGCTACTTACCCTAGTGCTGAGGGTTAAATTACTACCACGGACCACCAATGAAGGGGGGGGGAGGGTTATTTTGGCACCTTACATCAGTGCTGGTGGTTAACATCACTGCCCCTGACCATCAATGAAGAGAGAATTAATGTAGCCAATTACACATTTCTGCCCCCACACTGCAAGCCATGCAATGTGAAGCATCACTTACTTTGTTTACCATGCCTCATTTTTCCTACCTCCCTAACTATGCATGCATATTTGAATACCTCTTATTTGAAACTTGTTTTTTTTTTGTCATTATACCATGAATGTCTTCCTCTTGCTCCAACCAAACAATTATTTAACGGTAAATTAAAAATGGAGGCATGGTTTTGTTAGTGTGGTCACAAAGGGCCTCATGTGCGGCCCTCATGGTCCCTGCAGACACTAATCTGTGTTTCCATATTTCCCTGATATAGCAGTGATTTTTAGCAGTCTTGTGTGATATGTCTCCAGTCTATGGATGTCTCCTGAACAGGGGCGGACTGACCATTTGGAAACTCAGGCACTCGGGTCAGTAGGGGGACCCATGAGATGCCCCTGGTACCTTTTTTCATAGGCTTTTTTGAGTTTGGGCAAGGACACAGGGGCCCCATGATCCCCTATTGCACGGGGGCCCCATGAGTTGTCAGTCAGCCCCTGCTCCTGAAACATGTCCCCAATCTCCAATAACTCCAACAGTATGTTTCCAGTCTCTGACCATCACTTGTATGATGTTTGCAGTCTCTAACCATCTCTTGAATCATTGTCTTCAGTCTCTAAACAGCTTCTATGCAATGTCCACAGTCTCTAACCATCTCATGTATCATGTGTGCAGTCTCTGACCATCTCTTATGTTATAGCCACAGTCTCTGACCATGTCTTGTATCATAACCATGGTTTTTGGCCATCTCTTGTATCATATCCACAATCTTTGACCATCTCCTGTGTCATGTCTGCAGTCTCTGACCATCTTTTATGTTATATCCACAGTCTATGACTATGTCTTGTATCATAACCACAATCTTTGACCATCTCCTTTGTCATGTCTGCAGTCTCTGATAATCTCTTGTATCATGAACATAGTCTTTAACTATATCCTGTTGTGTGTCTGCTGTCTGATATTGTATATTCACTGAATTTTATATTGAGGCTCCCCAGATCAATTGTTGACCTCCACTATCCTAGAGTTAACAAGCATTTTACCCCTTAATGCAAGTGGGCCCCAATTTAAGTTTTTTTTTTTAATTTCTGGAGTTGAGCTTGCAAGTGAAAAGCTTGCAAGTAACAGAGAGTGGCAGCAGAAAACTTCCTTTGACCTTCGTAGTAACTTGAGGTTTAGAAATAGACTCTGCATAGAAAATACCTTCCATATGACTGCTGGAATGTCTCATTTGCAGACTACTACATGTATGCTCCACCTCTATTATAACTCAGCTCTCAACTTTGCAAAGGTTTTTTTTTTTTTTTTATTTGCTAAGAACTACAAAATGTGACACAAACTGACACATCTAAAGTTACGGTCTGTGGTTTTTAATTTACAAGGCCAGGCTGGGTGCATGCCATTCTAGATTATTAGTGCACCTGCATTCTGATCACACACCTCAAAAGTGTTAAATGTGATTATAAAATATAGTTTCATATAGTAAAATCTCAGGGGAGAGAGAATGAAGCTTTTGAAAGAGCTGCCAAGGGCTAGTTAATATTATGTATACAACACAGGGAAAATCTGGATTAGCTCTCCTGCCCCAGAGGCACCTGCTTGGTGTGATTTTCTTATGATCTACCTGTGATCTGCGACAATAACACACACATGATCACAGCGAACTAACCACCAGCCATGCAGACCTGTCACTCACTCACCCATCAAAGTTAACCACAAGAACTCTAATTGTCAGCTGTTTAGGATTCTATCGTATGCATTCATTTGCTGCTCTTTCTTGTTTTGCTTTAGAGATATTGACTATATCACATAACACTTTTATTATGAGCAGCCTACCATCTGCCTGCTCATTGTAAAGACGGTCATTTGAACAACTGTATGTGCAATAATCTTTATATATATAAATGCTCTTAGTAGTTTTGTGTCAGGAACTGATTAAACCTGTGCAAAAAAAAAAATCGGGCCTTTTGTTAACTCCTTCATTGTTGTACTACATGAAATATGTGCATGCCTCATTGGTAGGTTGTTGTTTAAGCCCGGGTTCACACAGATGCAGTGCGGAATTGGCAGCGTTTTCTGTGCGAAATAACAACACCCCGAAATTGGCCAGCAAAACGTGATGTGCAGAATTGGATTGCATAGGTGTGAATACCCATGCTATCCGATTCTAGTGCGCACCAAAAAAAGGGTCCTGCACCATTTTGGTGCAGATGCGGTGCAATTAGAGCCATACAAAATGTATGGCTTCAACCGCAGCGCACACAATTCGCATGTGATTTGCACAGGAATGCAGTGCAGTTCCTGTGCGAGTAACATGCGATATATCGCACCACACAATTGTGAGCCCAGCCTATGAGAGATGCTTTGCAGGCAGATCCCCCAAAAAAACTGCCCACATAGGGTGGTCAGGTGTGCGGGCATTAAACGAGACTGACAAAAATGTTTTTCTAATTAACAGATTGTGACTAAAACTTTTTTTTTTTGATTGACCTGGCTGGCATGTTAATACAGTCAATGCGTTTTTTTCCAACTGGAACAAGGTGGTATCTCCGTCACTGCTTACCGACTTGTCATTGGTACACACAAAAGCTGATAGAGGAATTTTTCTGCACTGCTCGCATCCTCTGCTGGCTTCTATGTTCACCAATGACAGCTCACCTCTTTGAGCAGCTCAGACACAGAACCCTTCCTGCCCATATGACACAGAGGGGTAAGCTGGATCAACCTTGTGGCAGTGGCTCCTCCTACAGCTTTTCTCCACAGCAGCTATTAAGAACTTCTCTCAGTTAAGTATTAGCCACTCTTCCACAGAAACCCTGGGTTCACACTAATGCGGTGCTGTACATCGCATGTGACTCCTGTGCAAATCACATGCGATTTATGTGCGGTGCAATTGGATCCATACATTTTGCATGGCTCTAATCGCACCGTACCCACACCAAATAGGTGCAGGAACCTTTTTTGGGTCCACACTAGAATTGGATTGCATGGGTATTCACACTCATGTGATCCAATTCTGCACATCGCACCACGTTTTGTGGACCGATTTCGGGGGGGTTGTTAACTTGACATACACACCTGCATCGGTTCGCATTAACGGGGTGCGATTCTGATGCGGAATTTGCACAGAAAATGCTGCGAATTACGCACCGCATCAGTGTGCACCCAAGCTCAGTGTCACTTTGTACTGGAAAGGAGGAAGGAATTTGTGGGTGGATCGAGAACACTGTACAGGGAAGGGGGGGTGGGGTTGGTGGGAGAGCTATGTACTTGGAGGGGGGTTGGGAGGGGAGCTCTGTACCAGGGTGTAGGGGTGAGAACTCTGTACTTGGGGGGGGTGTTGGGTTGTGGAGAAGATCATTTTTGGTTGTACACTGGCCTGTGTTACCCACTCCTGAACCCTACACCCTGTCCAGTACAGCACCTTTGCTTTGTGCCCTGTTCAATATGCACTCCTAAGCCTATATGATACCCAGTGCTGAGCCCTGCACCCTGTTCAGTACAGCACCTTTGCCTTGTGCCCTGTTCAATATGCACTCCTGAGCATATATGATACACACTCCTGAGCCCTGCACCCTGTTCTACAGCACCTTTGCACCCTGTTCAATATGCACTCCTAAGCCTATATGATACCCAGTGTGAGCCCTGCACCCTGTTCAGTACAGCACCTTTGCCTTGTGCCCTGTTCAATATGCACTCCTGAGCATATATGATACACACTCCTGAGCCCTGCACCCTGTTCAGTACAGCACCTTTGCTTTGTGCCCTGTTCAATATGCACTCCTGAGCATATATGATACCCAGTGCTGAGCCCTGCACCCTGTTCAGTACAGCACCTTTGCCTTGTGCCCTGTTCAATATGCACTCCTGAGCATATATGATACACACTCCTGAGCCCTGCACCCTGTTCAGTACAGCACCTTTGCTTTGTGCCCTGTTCAATATGCACTCCTGAGCATATATGATACACACTCCTGAGCCCTGCACCCTGTTCAGTACAGCACCTTTGTTTGTGCCCTGTTCAATATGCACTTCTAAGCCTATATGATACACACTGCTGAGACCTACACCCTGTTCAGTACAGCACCTTTGCCTTGTGCCCTGTTCAATATGCACTCCTGAGCATATATGATACACACTCCTGAGCCCTGCACCCTGTTCAGTACAGCACCTTTGCTTTGTGCCCTGTTCAATATGCACTCCTAAGCCTATATGATACCCAGTGCTGAGTCCTGCACCCTGTTCAGTACAGCACCTTTGCTTTGTGCCCTGTTCAATATGCACTCCTAAGCCTATATGATACCCAGTGCTGAGCCCTGCACCCTGTTCAGTACAGCACCTTTGCTTTGTGCCCTGTTCAATATGCACTTCTAAGCCTATATGATACACACTGCTGAGCCCTACACACCCTGTTCAGTACAGCACCTTTGCTTTGTGCCCTGTTCAATATGCACTCCTGAGCCTATATGATACACACTGCTGAGCCCTGCACCCTGTTCAGTACAGCACCTTTGCCTTGTGCCCTGTTCAATATGCACTCCTGAGCATATATGATACACACTCCTGAGCCCTGCACCCTGTTCAGTACAGCACCTTTGCTTTGTGCCCTGTTCAATATGCACTCCTGAGCATATATGATACACACTCCTGAGCCCTGCACCCTGTTCAGTACAGCACCTTTGCTTTGTGCCCTGTTCAATATGCACTTCTAAGCCTATATGATACACACTGCTGAGACCTACACCCTGTTCAGTACAGCACCTTTGCCTTGTGCCCTGTTCAATATGCACTCCTGAGCATATATGATACACACTCCTGAGCCCTGCACCCTGTTCAGTACAGCACCTTTGCTTTGTGCCCTGTTCAATATGCACTCCTAAGCCTATATGATATACACTCCTGAGCCCTGCACCCTGTTTAGTACAGCACCTTTGCTTTGTTCCCTGTTCAATATGCACGCCTAAGCCTATATGATACACACTCTTGAGCCCTACATCCTGTTCAGTACAGCACCTTTGCCTTGAGCCCTGTTCAATATGCACTCCTGAGCCTATGTGATACACTCCTGAGCCCTGCAGCCTGTTCAGTACAGCACCTTTGCCTTGAGCCCTGTTCAATATGCACTCCTGAGCCTATGTGATACACTCCTGAGCCCAGCACCCTGTTCAGTACAGCACCTTTGCTTTGTGCCCTGTTCAATATGCACTCCTAAGCCTATATGATATACACTCCTGAGCCCTGCACCCTGTTCAGTACAGCACCTTTGCTTTGTGCCCTGTTCAATATGCACTCCTAAGCCTATATGATACACAGTGCTGAGCCCTACACCCTGTTCTGTACAGCACCTTTGCTTTGTGCCCTGTTCAATATGCACTCCTAAGCCTATATGATACACAGTGCTGAGCCCTACACCCTGTTCTGTACAGCACCTTTGCCTTGTGCCCTGTTCAATATGCACTCCTGAGCGTATATGATACAC